AACGTATCTTAACTCCATGAGTAAACAGTGAGAAGGTTTGGTTTAGTCATTTATTATTTATTTTTTTTAGCTTTGTTCACAAAAAGAAGAAAAGACAGCTGGATAAACAAACAGACTAAAGACAACATTGTGAAGAGCATCAAACTTTTTAGCCTTACTGTAATATTATCACTGCGACTAGCTCCAAGTTTATCTGGTACCTATCTTTTCCTCTGTTCACCAGGATCACTGAGACACCAGATGCCCCTGAACCTGAACCTGGACCCAGCTGTGTGTCTTTGAAGAGTGATCAGTCAAAGGGTTTCATCTTCCACTTTAAAGGAACTAAATCTGCTGCTGCTGAGGAGTAAGACATTTCACATTTACTTTACAGCTCTGTGGTACACCTGGCCTCAGTCCTGAGATTAAAAAGCTCCATAAGTGAGGTTGCTAATTTAAAAGAAAAATAAATCTATCATAACAGCCATGGATTCCCTGTACTGGGCATCACACTGATTATAATTTATGTGGTAATCAGCAGGAATGTGTCAGCAGTTAGTTTGACTCTTTTATTTAGTAAATAAGAGTTTCAGTCTGATGTGTTTTCCAGCTTTGCGTAGGAAGGTGAAATGATCTGCAGCTGTATATGTGGTGCTGGATCCCACGATATGAGCTGCTGGATTTCTCTAAATATTAAATAATTCTCATAATTCATAATGACACACCATCCCATCACCATGACAATCATGGACCACAGCAAATCTTTTTTCGTTTAACCTTATTATTGACATTACATTTTTCACCAATGGTTCTTTTTTATATGACCTGCATGAAATAACAAGACAAAATGGATTATAATGTAGTAATGATGATCATTTTGTAGTTCAGCATCGGGACACTGAACACCACAGATGTAGCTGATTCAAAGTGTCATCATACAATTATTTTAATGTGTATTTTAAGTTTAATTACTCAGAAAAAAAATTCAGCTGCTGCTGTAAGATGCTCTTCCTTGCTGTTTGTATTTTTAAAAACGGTCAAATTTAAAATGAAACACTTCAACACAACAACACGAATCTGACTTTTTTTAATGTGATGATGCAATGTGCAGGAAATATCCATAATATGGTCATTACAAGAACACTGGTACAGAACCATCACTGACCTGTTAGTTTTGGACTAGTGGAGTCTAATAAATGAATAAATAAATAAGTCTATAAATTAACATAATAGGTTTGTTACAGCACAGTTGTGCTTGTTTTAATCAGGATGATCATCTAACAGTAGAAGAAGAAATCTGTGGCTTGTATTTATGTGCAAAATGGTTCTAATTTCTTCATGATGTCTCCACAGAGCTGATCAGGAGAGTCTGCAGCATCAAACTGATCTGGACTCAGTATTTAAGGTTTGTACATGTACACCAACCTCTGTTTGTAATTGTTTTCATGTTGCACAGTCCAATATTCATCATAAAATAATGGCAAAATTCCAGAAATAATTCAACGGGGAAATAATTTATTACTTTATTTGTATTTATAAAGCACTTTTCAAAGCAAAGCTTCAGCATAACTTTATAACACTACCTGAAAATAATGTGCAAGTACCCTGTACTTACGTGGAATTTGCAGGAAACTACAGGGCACATAAGATGTAAGATGGGGAAATAGCCGAGTACTTAGAATTATTTAATTTATGTTATTATTTTATTGTTTCCTTTGTTAAATTGAAAACACACACAAAAAAATCTGTGAAAAATTATTTTTACTATGAAGATCTGATTTTCGTGAATTCAGATTGTGTCATTTATTTTCCAGATGCTGGAGGAAAACATTATCATGTTTGTGAAAAACGAGCTAAAGAAGCTGCAGAATAATCTGAATCAAGATTATTCAGAGTGTCAGAGGGATGAAGAGGAGATGTTGGACAGTGAGGAAGAGAAGCAGAGAAGGAGCAGCAGAGAGGCATTTCTGAAACTCGCAGTTAACTTCCTGAGAATAATGAATCAGGAGGAGCTGGCTGACTGTCTGCAGAACAGTGAGAGGATTTCTCTTCACAAATTCAGTCTTTACAGGAATGAAATTGTCACATTTTCTATAATCATAACACTCATGTTTCTGGTGCTTTCCTGTAGAAAGTCCTGATCCACTTTGTGAGAATACATTTAAATGTAACCTGAAGAAGAAGTTCCAGTGTGTCTTTGAGGGGATTGCTAAACCAGGAACCAGAATCACTCTAAATGAGATCTACACAGAGCTCTGCATCACAGAGGGAGGGACTGGAGAGGTCAACACTGAACATGAGGTCAGACAGATTGAAATGTTTTCCTGGAAACCAAACAGACCAGAAACAACAATCAGGTGTGAAGACATCTTTAAAGCTTCGACTGGAAGAGATAAACCAATCAGAACAGTTCTGACCAAAGGAGTGGCTGGCATCGGGAAAACATTCCTGACACAAAAGTTCACTTTGGACTGGGCTGAAGACAAGACCAACCAGGACATCCAGTTCATTTTTCCATTCCCATTCAGAGAGCTGAATTTACTGAGCGATAAAAAGTTCAGCTTAGTGGGACTTATTCATCACTTCTTCACTGAAATCAAAGAAGCAGGAATCTGTAACTTTAAAAAGTTCAAAGTTGTGTTCATCTTTGATGGTCTGGATGAGTGTCGACTTCCTCTGAACTTACACATCACTGAGATCCTCACTGATGTTACAGAGTCCACATCAGTGGATGTGCTGCTGACAAACCTCATCAGGGGAAAGTTGCTTCCTTCTGCTCACATCTGGATAACCACACGACCTGCAGCAGCCAATCAGATCCCTGCTGAGTATATAGACATGGTTACAGAGGTCAGAGGGTTCACTGACCCACATAAGGAAGAGTACTTCAGGAAGAGACTCAGAGACAAGGAAGAGGCCAACACCATAATCTCTCATATCAAGACATCACGAAGCCTCCACATAATGTGTCACATCCCAATCTTCTGCTGGATTACTGCTACAGTTCTAGAGAGCATGTTAAAAACCAAACAGGCTGGAGGAAAGCTGCCCAAGACACTGACTGAGATGTACATTCACTTCCTGGTGGTTCAGACCAAAGTGAAGAACATTAAGTATGATGGAGGAGCTGAGACAGATCCTCTCTGGAGTCCAGAAAGCAGGAAGATGATTGAAGCACTGGGGAAACTGGCTTTTCAGCAGCTGCAGAAGGGAAACCTGATCTTCTATGAATCAGACCTGACAGAGTGTGACATTAATGTCAGAGAAGCCTCAGTGTACTCAGGAGTGTTCACACAGATCTTTAAAGAAGAGAGAGGACTGTACCAAGAGAAGGTGTACTGTTTTGTCCATCTGAGTGTTCAGGAGTTTCTGGCAGCTCTTCATGTCCATCTGACATTCACCAACTCTGGTATCAACCTGCTGGAAGAAGAAGAAACAGCCTCAGTGCAGACTGGAGAGTCTTCAGTAAGATATTTCTACCAGAGTGCTGTGGACAAGGCCTTAAAAAGTCCAAATGGACATTTGGACTTGTTTCTTCGCTTCCTCCTTGGTCTTTCGATGCAATCCAATCAGGATCTCCTACAAGGCCTGCTCACACAAACAGGAATCAGCTCACAGATAAATCAGGAAGCAGTCAAGTACATTAAAGAAAAAATGAATGGCACTCTCTCTCCAGAGAAAAGCATCAATCTGATCCATTGTCTGAATGAATTGAATGATGACTCTATAGTGAAGGAGGTCCAGCATCAACTGAGTTCAGGACACCTGTCTAAAGTTAATCTCTCTCCTGCTCAGTGGTCAGCTCTGGTCTTCATCCTACTGTCATCAGAAACAGGTGTGGATGAGTTTGACTTGAGAAAATATTCAGCTTCAGAAGACGCTCTTCTGCAGCTGCTGCCAGTGGTCAAAGCCTGTAAGAAAGCCCAGTAAGTATCCAGTTTAATCCTGGCAAGAGATTGCTTTAACCCTCTCAAGGCAGGCGTTGCAGATTTGCAACAGTTAAAAGCTAACAACCTGATTACCCCACATACATATTTTATATGTATAAAAGTTTTTTTTTACTCAGAAGTACCACTGCAGGTATTATTTTGTGCATTAGCAACAAAAACTTAATTTGAGCCTGAGAGGGTTAAAGTGTTTATTTGAAAAGGTTGCAAAGTTCACTGATATACTGATATGTTTCTAGGTTGGGCGGCTGTAACCTCACAGAGAGAAGCTGTGAAGCTCTTTCCTCAATTCTAAGTTCTCAGTCCTCCAGACTGAGAGAGCTGGACATGCGTAACAACAACCTTCAGGACTCAGTGAAGTTGCTTTGTGTTGGACTTGGGAGTCCACACTGTATGCTGGAAACTCTCAGGTTAGCTGACTCTTTGATACAGGAGATTTGGATATTTCACGACAACTGTCATTATTTTATAGATGTTAATATGTTTTTTCTGTTCTGGTGTAAGCTCTGAAAGAGAACAGTAGAGTAGAAATGAAACACACTTCATAAATCAGATAAAATATGACTTTATTTATGATTGTCCATCATAGGAAAAAAGACACAAAGTCAATGTGTTTTGTTCTTTTTTTAAAACTGAGTGAAGAAAAGCCAGTTTGTTTGTCTTTTTAACAACTTTAACTGAAATCAGAATCTGTTAGTTCGACTGCATGTACATCATCAAATTCAGAGCAGTTCATTACAATGATATGACATGTTGAATGTGTTTGAAGGCTGTCAGGCTGTCAGATCACAGGAATAGGCTTCACCTCTCTGGCCACAGCTCTGCGCTCCAATCCCTCCTATTTGAAAGAGCTGGACTTGAGCTATAATCATCCAGGAGACTCAGGAATGAAGCTTTTGTCTGATCAACAGCAGGATCCACATGTGAAACTGGAAATACTCTGGTAGGAAAACAGGAAATAAAGCTGAAAATATATTTTTTTCTCCAACATTTTGTAAGGAGGAGCAGATATTTACTTGAAGTCATTTAAGGGTTTATTGTAACCACTGACCTGATGGCCCGTAATATAGTCTGTAATTCCAGTCAAATGGGCAACTGTGTGGGTGAATGACTCAGAACCAATCACAGTTAAAAGCTCACCTGTGAGTCAAAATCACAAAATCAATCATCTTTAACATTTTCTTGTCTTGCTGGTCAAAGGGGGTGCTCAAGCATAACCCAGCGGTCACACTCTTTGCCAAGCAGTTGCATACTGTGATATCATTCACAATAAGTGGTCATCTTGTTGATATGCTTTAGCTCAGTGGGTGAACAGGCGACCATATGCCGTATGGCCAGAGAGCAGTAGGCCTGGGTTTAAGCAGCCTTTTGCTGCATGTCTTTTCCTCTTTCTCTCACCACTTTCCTGCCTATCTACAATATATCTATCAAATTATGGACAAAAAAGTAAAGTAAGTGATAACCTTAACTCTAAGTTTACCTTAACCTTTAATTCAAGAGAGAGGCAAAACTGACTTTTTTCAAATTAGTTTTTGCTCTGTATCAGATCGATTATTTTCTTTGTTTCCAGACTGCCAAGATTTGAGAGAATAATTGACCAAAAACAAATAAACAAGGCTGGGATCATGATGAATTAGGCCTCAAAAAGTGTTTAAAATCAAATGAAATAGGCACCCACAACCTTATGACTGCATGACCTTGCAACCTCATTAAGGTTGACAATTGAGATTGTGCATTTCAATAAAAGATTGAGGTATTTACCCCAATCACACCCCATCAGGATTCATCATCATTGCCCACGAGCGTTGCCTCTCTCATTGTGTGTAAAGGTTGGCTGTGTGGCAAGATTAGTTAGACCCAAAATGCAGGACATGGGAAACAAGGTGATTAAAAGGAAGCTTTATTGCTGAGCTTAACAAAATACAAATTAAAGTTGTGGGTTAAAGGAATACACAGCTTGAGGGAGAATGTAACAAATAGCTTGGGATGGGACCCTTGATACTGATGTTTGAAACTGTGTCGATCTTATGAAGTTCAGTTGTTTTACTACACTGCTTTAAAGTGTAGCACACAACACCAACATCACATGACCATAGTGTTATAGGCCTTCTATGGGGTCTATTTTATACAGAAAAGTAGAGACTGGAGATATAAGTTTTGCAGGCTCTTCCTTGTCTCTCTAATACACAGAATTTTATACCATTGTTTTCTGTTCATTTATACACACGTTCCTCTTTCCTTCAGTCATTCCTCTTGTGACAAAAAACATCATATTCAATCAGGTTCACATGTTAAACCCACTTGGTCGTATTGTTTTTTCCACAAGTATAGATCTACAAAATAATGATCTTATATCAGTCTCCTTATTACCAATAAATCTGTAACTAAATCCTGCTGCTGTCCAGCTTCAACAATATCTCTGTGCAGTAATATTAGCACTGCGAATCACCTGCTTATTATTACCGTTATAAACTCTTTATATCATAAAAGATTAAGATGGGATGCCTTGAGGCGACATTTGTTGTGATTTGGCGCTATATAAATAAAATTGAATTGAAAATTGAATTGAATTAAACAATATATTTGCGAACAATAAACAAACATATTCTATAGTTGCCCAAAAGTCAATATAAACCAGTCTATTTACATTTAGCAATATAATGAGTAAGAACGAGGTTATGTTGAAATCACCAACTGTAAAACTTCTAGTAACATCAGGTTAAAAGTATGTCTCGGAGCTAGATGTGCTACGAAATAAAACAGATGTAGTAAGACCCACCACGTCTTTACACTACAAGTGGAATTGTGGCTCCCATTACAACTGGCGGGAAAGTTTGCTTTCTCTTGATCTATGAAAACACACTTTCTTACATCAGCTGTGGCCTTTAAATCAAGACAGAAAAAGATTTCAGAAAAGATGAATGACTCAGAACCAATCGCAGCCAAAAGCCCATCTGTGGGCTTTTAACTGTGCATGGCACACAGAGAAGGATAAATAAATAAATAAATTAAATTAATTTTTATTTATATAGCACCTTTCAAGACAGAATCACAAAGTGCTGCACATAAGATTACAAGTCATAAAAAGATTTAAAAAGAGAAAATAAAACAGGCATAAAATTAACCAAAAGCAGTTTTAAAAAGGTGAGTTTTGAGTTATTTTTTAAAAACAGCTACTGAGTCCACAGTTCTTAATGCTTGGGGGAGAGAGTTTCACCTTCTCGGGGCCACAGTGGCAAGAGCTCTATCACCCTTAGTCCTCCTCTTAGTATTTTTTTATAGCAAGTAAGCCCTGATCAGATGACCTCAAAGACCTGCTAGGGACATAGGGCTGTAGCAGATCAAAGATGTAGGCTGGTGCCAGTCCGTGCACAGCTCTGTAGGTCAAGACCAGGATCTTAAAATTTACTCTAAATTTAACAGGAAGCCAGTGTAACTGAGATAAAAACGGTGTCACATGTGAGTACTTGGAGGATTTTGTCAAAAGTCTGCAGCGTTTTGCACAACCTGCAGACAATCCAGAGAACCTTTGCTTAGACACATAAACAGCTAATTACAATAATCCAAGTGTGACGAAATAAAAGCATGTATAGCAATCTCAAGTTCAGAGCGAGATAAAATCGGGCTTAGCTTAGCCACATTTCTTAAATGATAAAAACAAGACCGAACCAGAGATTTCACATGCCCATCCAATGTGAGACTCGAGTCAAAAGTGACACCTAAATTCCTGATAGAGGATTTAACATAGAGTGAGAGAGGACCAAGGGCTTTCACTATCTGCAATAGAAACCTATCAGGGGCGCATATGAGGACTTCGGTTTTCCCCTCATTGAGTTGGAGAAAATTTGCAGCCATCCAACATTTGATAAAATCTAAGCAATCGTTCAGACGCTGAAGCTTAGATAAATCCTGGGGCTTAAAAGAAATGTACAACTGAAAATCATCAGCATAACAGTGATAAGAAATGTCCTCAAAAGAGCCCATTATATGCTGGAGGGGGAGAAGATAAATTAAAAACAATAAAGGCCCCAAAACCGAACCTTGAGGGACACCATAAGTAAGGGAGGTAGAGGATGACCTAAAATCGTAGACTGCCACAGAAAAGGATCGGTGATGGAGATATGAGGAGAACCACTCCAAGGCAGTACCCGATACCCCAACCCAATGTTTAAGCCTTTCAAGGAGGATGTGGTGGTGAACTGTGTCGAAACTGATGTGAGGTCCAACATAAGTAGAACAAAGCATTTTCCTGCATCATTATTCATCAAGATATCACTAGAGACCCTCAGAAGATCTGTTTCTGTGGAGTGAAATCGACGAAAACCGGACTGAAACTTATCGTAAATGCCATGTTTATCTAGAACTGCCATAAGTTGCTTAGCCACAACCTTTACTAGAAGCTTAGCAATTAACGGTAAGTTAGAGATAGGTCTGTAGCTGCTCCAAAGAGAGGGGTCAAGCTGAGGTTTTTTTAAAAGTGGGACAATAGCAGCGTTTTTAAAATAAACCGGAACTATACCAGATGCCAGTGAAGAGTTGATTAAAGTGAGCACACATGGGCCAATAGACTGGGAGACATTTTTGAATAATGATGCAGGTACAATGTCAAATGAACAGGAGGATGCTTTCACTGAATTCACAAGTTTTACCAGCTCAGGTAGTGAAACCGGAGAGAAAGTATCCAAGATAATGGGCCGAGATGGGTTAGAGATCAAAATAACAGGTGCTGAATGTGAAAAATTTATTCTCATGTTATGAATTTTTGCAAGCAGAAAAGAAAGAATTTTTTCACAGTCCTCATTAGAAAAAATAGGGGCCGCAGGCAGAGCAGGAGTAACAATGTCACTAATGGTGTTGAATAGCACCTTAGGATTGCCTCTGCTCTTTGTAACCAAGTGTGAGAAATGGGCAGCCTTCGCATCTCTGATCGCATTATTAAAATAAGCTAAAAGGTCCTTAAGATAGAGGAGGTGAACATTTAGATGAGTTTTCCTCCACCTGCGCTCCACTTTACAACAATCACGTTTTAGACAACGAATACTGTGATTTAGCCAAGGAGGAGATTTGGAGGCAGAAACACTCCTCGTCTTAACTGAACAAATTTCATCTAAAATAATTATTAAAAAGACTGGTTGAGAAATCAACACCATTTTGAGGAGATAGCTATAAGTTAAAAGCATCCACAAATTCCTCCGCTGTGGAGGAGTTTAAGATACGAGAGCTAACCATGCGTCTGACGGGGGACAAAGGCTCATTAAAAGACAAGTTAAAAACAATAACATAGTGATCAGAAATAAAAATGTCCTCAGAGCAAATAAAATCAATATTTAAACCCAAAGTAAAAACAAGGTCCAGTGTGTGAGCTTTGCTGTGTGTAGGACCGGACACATGCTGAGCAAAATGAAAAGAATCCATAATGTTCATAAAGTCTCTGGCGAATAGGTTGGAGTCATCATCAATGTGTATGTTAAAGTCCCCAACTATAAGCACTCTAGACAGCTTCATAGTAGCGGATAGGAAGTCACTGAGCTCCGATAAAAATAACCTGTTATATCCAGGTGGACGATACACCACAGCACAGTAGAAAGGATCCTTGTTACCAATTTTAAGCAGTTGCAGCTGAAACGAACAAAAATGCCCAATTTTCACGGAACGGCAGGAGAAACTGTCCTGGAAAGCCACGGCAAGCCCACCACCCCGACCAGACAGCTGAGGCTGGGTAATAAAAGTATAGCCATCCGGGCAGAGTTCAATAAGTGACGAGTAGTCTACATCCCGCTGCCAGGTCTCAGTCAGGAATTAAAAATCCTGTTTTTTAGATAATATAAAATCATTCAACAAGGATGACTTATTAGAGAGAGATCGAGCATTAAAAAGCGCCACATTCAGTGAGCTAGAAGCCTCATTATTTGCAGAGACTCGAGTTAAGGGACGTAAATACACAGGGTT